GTAAAACTAGCATAGATCAGCTCTCCGAATTAAAATTAATGGTTTTTTTTGCTTAGTTATGAGTTTTTAAAACTATGATTTTTGGGCAAAATTGCCTGTTTTTATACCTTTTTTCAGGATCTTATAATTTTATTAAAAAACTGACAATAGCATTAGCAAACGCAGTATGCAGATTTGTTAGTGGAATAAAAACTAGCACAGAAAAGCTTTCCGATTCAAAATTAATGCAATTTTGGCTTAATTATGATGTCCGGAAAACTTTGATTTTTCACAAAAATGGTCTGTTTTTATACCTTTTTGGTGGGTACAGTTCAAATCAGAAGCTTGTAATACTGTGAAGAAGTCATTTCCGACCCTATAAACCATATATATTCTTGATCAGCATCAAAAACTGAATCAATCTAGCCATGTCCGGATGAAAAATAAATTTTCGGACTTTTTTCGAAAATTGAAAATTTTATAATTAAAATTGTCAAAATCTGACAATAAATTGAATTTTTTATATTTGAAAACCCGGTATGCAGATTTGTTAATCTAGTAAAAACTAGCATAGATCAGCTCTCCGAATTAAAATTAATGGTTTTTTTTGCTTAGTTATGAGTTTTTAAATTTATGATTTTTGGGCAAAATTGCCTGTTTTTATACCTTTTTCAGGATCTTATAATTTTATTAAAAAACTGACAATTGCATTAGCAAACGCAGTATGCAGATTTGTTAGTGGAATAAAAACTAGCACAGAAAAGCTTTCCGATTCAAAATTAATGCAATTTTGGCTTAATTATGATGTCCGGAAAACTTTGATTTTTCACAAAAAATGGTCTGTTTTTATACCTTTTTGGTGGGTATAGTTTAAATCAGAAGCTTGTAATACTGTGAAGAAGTCATTTCCGACCCTATAAACCATATATATTCTTGATCAGCATCAAAAACTGAATCAATCTAGCCATGTCCGGATGAAAAATAAATTTTCGGACTCTTTTCGAAAATTGAAAATTTTATAAGGGGTTACATCATTAAAATTGTCAAAATCTGACAATAAATTGAATTTTTTATATTTGAAAACCCGGTATGCAGATTTGTTAATCTAGTAAAAACTAGCATAGATCAGCTCTCCGAATTAAAATTAATGTTTTTTTTGCTTAGTTATGAGTTTTTAAAACTATGATTTTTGGGCAAAATTGCCTGTTTTTATACCTTTTTTCAGGATCTTATAATTTTATTAAAAAACTGACAATTGCATTAGCAAACGCAGTATGCAGATTTGTTAGTGGAATAAAAACTAGCACAGAAAAGCTTTCCGATTCTAAATTAATGCAATTTTGGCTTAATTATGATGTCCGGAAAACTTTGATTTTTCACAAAAAATGGTCTGTTTTTATACCTTTTTGGTGGGTATAGTTTAAATCAGAAGCTTGTAATACTGTGAAGAAGTCATTTCCGACCCTATAAACCATATATATTCTTGATCAGCATCAAAAACTGAATCAATCTAGCCATGTCCGGATGAAAAATAAATTTTCGGACTTTTTTCGAAAATTGAAAATTTTATAAGGGGTTACATCATTAAAATTGTCAAAATCTGACAATAAATTGAATTTTTTATATTTGAAAACCCGGTATGCAGATTTGTTAATCTAGTAAAAACTAGCATAGATCAGCTCTCCGAATTAAAATTAATGGTTTTTTTTGCTTAGTTATGAGTTTTTAAAACTATGATTTTTGGGCAAAATTGCCTGTTTTTATACCTTTTTTCAGGATCTTATAATTTTATTAAAAAACTGACAATTGCATTAGCAAACGCAGTATGCAGATTTGTTAGTGGAATAAAAACTAGCACAGAAAAGCTTTCCGATTCAAAATTAATGCAATTTTGGCTTAATTATGATGTCCGGAAAACTTTGATTTTTCACAAAAAATGGTCTGTTTTTATACCTTTTTGGTGGGTATAGTTTAAATCAGAAGCTTGTAATACTGTGAAGAAGTCATTTCCGACCCTATAAACCATATATATTCTTGATCAGCATCAAAAACTGAATCAATCTAGCCATGTCCGGATGAAAAATAAATTTTCGGACTTTTTTCGAAAATTGAAAATTTTATAAGGGGTTACATCATTAAAATTGTCAAAATCTGACAATAAATTGAATTTTTTATATTTGAAAACCCGGTATGCAGATTTGTTAATCTAGTAAAAACTAGCATAGATCAGCTCTCCGAATTAAAATTAATGGTTTTTTGGTTTAGTTATGAGTTTTTAAAACTATGATTTTTGGGCAAAATTGCCTGTTTTTATACCTTTTTTCAGGATCTTATAATTTTATTAAAAAACTGACAATAGCATTAGCAAACGCAGTATGCAGATTTGTTAGTGGAATAAAAACTAGCACAGAAAAGCTTTCCGATTCAAAATTAATGCAATTTTGGCTTAATTATGATGTCCGGAAAACTTTGATTTTTCACAAAAAATGGTCTGTTTTTATACCTTTTTGGTGGGTACAGTTCAAATCAGAAGCTTGTAATACTGTGAAGAAGTCATTTCCGACCCTATAAACCATATATATTCTTGATCAGCATCAAAAATTGAATCAATCTAGCCATGTCCGGATGAAAAATAAATTTTCGGACTCTTTTCGAAAATTGAAAATTTTATAAGGGGTTACCATCATTAAAATTGCCAAAATCTGACAATAAATTGAATATTTTATATTTGAAAACCCGGTATGCAGATTTGTTAATCTAGTAAAAACTAGCATAGATCAGCTCTCCGAATTAAAATTAATGGTTTTTTTTGCTTAGTTATGAGTTTTTAAAACTATGATTTTTGGGCAAAATTGCCTGTTTTTATACCTTTTTTCAGGATCTTATAATTTTATTAAAAAACTGACAATAGCATTAGCAAACGCAGTATGCAGATTTGTTAGTGGAATAAAAACTAGCACAGAAAAGCTTTCCGATTCTAAATTAATGCAATTTTGGCTTAATTATGATGTCCGGAAAACTTTGATTTTTCACAAAAAATGGTCTGTTTTTATACCTTTTTGGTGGGTATAGTTTAAATCAGAAGCTTGTAATACTGTGAAAAGGTCATTTCCGACCCTATAAACCATATATATTCTTGATCAGCATCAAAAACTGAATCAATCTAGCCATGTCCGGATGAAAAATAAATTTTCGGACTTTTTTCGAAAATTGAAAATTTTATAAGGGTTACATCATTAAAATTGTCAAAATCTGAATATAAATTGAATTTTTTATATTTGAAAACCCGGTATGCAGATTTGTTAATCTAGTAAAAACTAGCATAGATCAGCTCTCCGAATTAAAATTAATGGTTTTTTGGCTTAGATATGAGGTTTTAAAACTATGATTTTTGGGCAAAATTGCCTGTTTTTATACCTTTTTTCAGGATCTTATAATTTTATTAAAAAACTGACAATAGCATTAGCAAACGCAGTATGCAGATTTGTTAGTGCAATAAAAACTAGCACAGAAAAGCTTTCCGATTCAAAATTAATGCAATTTTGGCTTAATTATGATGTCCGGAAAACTTTGATTTTTCACAAAAAATGGTCTGTTTTTATACCTTTTTGGTGGGTACAGTTCAAATCAGAAGCTTGTAATACTGTGAAGAAGTCATTTCCGACCCTATAAACCATATATATTCTTGATCAGCATCAAAAATTGAATCAATCTAGCCATGTCCGGATGAAAAATAAATTTTCGGACTCTTTTCGAAAATTGAAAATTTTATAAGGGGTTACCATCATTAAAATTGCCAAAATCTGACAATAAATTGAATATTTTATATTTGAAAACCCGGTATGCAGATTTGTTAATCTAGTAAAAACTAGCATAGATCAGCTCTCCGAATTAAAATTAATGGTTTTTTTTGCTTAGTTATGAGTTTTTAAAACTATGATTTTTGGGCAAAATTGCCTGTTTTTATACCTTTTTTCAGGATCTTATAATTTTATTAAAAAACTGACAATAGCATTAGCAAACGCAGTATGCAGATTTGTTAGTGGAATAAAAACTAGCACAGAAAAGCTTTCCGATTCTAAATTAATGCAATTTTGGCTTAATTATGATGTCCGGAAAACTTTGATTTTTCACAAAAAATGGTCTGTTTTTATACCTTTTTGGTGGGTATAGTTTAAATCAGAAGCTTGTAATACTGTGAAAAGGTCATTTCCGACCCTATAAACCATATATATTCTTGATCAGCATCAAAAACTGAATCAATCTAGCCATGTCCGGATGAAAAATAAATTTTCGGACTTTTTTCGAAAATTGAAAATTTTATAAGGGGTTACATCATTAAAATTGTCAAAATCTGAATATAAATTGAATTTTTTATATTTGAAAACCCGGTATGCAGATTTGTTAATCTAGTAAAAACTAGCATAGATCAGCTCTCCGAATTAAAATTAATGGTTTTTTGGCTTAGATATGAGGTTTTAAAACTATGATTTTTGGGCAAAATTGCCTGTTTTTATACCTTTTTTCAGGATCTTATAATTTTATTAAAAAACTGACAATAGCATTAGCAAACGCAGTATGCAGATTTGTTAGTGCAATAAAAACTAGCACAGAAAAGCTTTCCGATTCAAAATTAATGGAATTTTGGCTTAATTATGATGTCCGGAAAACTTTGATTTTTCACAAAAAATGGTCTGTTTTTATACCTTTTTGGTGGGTATAGTTTAAATCAGAAGCTTGTAAAACTATGAAGAAGTCATTTCCGACCCTATAAACCATATACATTCTTGATCAGCATCAATAACTGAATCAATCTAGCCATGTCCGGATGGAAAATAAATTTTCGGACTATTTTATCATTTAAATCATTATTATATCATTAAATATCGATTCAAAGAATGTGAATGTTTTATCGATCGATTTTAGTTTTGATCCTATAATTTAATTAAAAACTGCAAGGGTATATCTACTGTTTTCCGAGGTGTGTTTCTTTTCTTAAACAAAATAATATCCAAAACCACTTACCGCACTTGTTCCTCCAACTCCTTGACTCTCTGCTCAAGGGAATGACGTTTCTCCTGGCAATCCTTTAGTTCGTACTCCAGCTTATAGGCTCGCTCTGTTTTGCTGTCCAATTGATGCTAAAAAGGTAATGATAAATTTGGAATGGTAAGAAAATGTTTCAAGGAAAGAGATCTAAGGATAAACTATAAGTTACAACTGAGAAATCAATTAAAAAGTGGTCGAAATATGAAAACAAGCTCAAATTCCCGATTTAAATAAATATTAATAATATGCCATTCAGCAATTTCTGTTACCTCTTCCTGTATATAGTATACCCACCAAAAGTGTATCCTTTTCATGCTCCAGTGATATATAGGTCTGCCGCAAAACTCCAATATCGGTGCGGAGTTGGGTGACCTCGTTGCGATTGGATTCTCGACTGGAATCTAGGGTACTGGCTCGCACATCCGCCGACTGACGCTGGCGCTCGGCAACCAGCAGCTTGCTCTGAAGCTCGGTTATAATGCGTTCATTCTGCTCATTAAGCATGCTGTTGGAATAAACATTCAATTAACAATCGAAACTTGGGAGTAACCATTAAGTACTTTACCTAATCTGACTATTTTCCTTCTTTTGCTCATCGAACTCAGCTTGCAGGGCAGCCATTCGTTGACGCATTAGTACCAGATCCTCCTTGAGCAGCACCAGATTTGTCTCGGCCGGAATGCGTGCAGAGCTGAGCTCACGCTTGTCCCGCTCCATTTGACGCAGTCGATCGTTTAACTCTTCGTTGCGCATGCGCAGAGCGTTGACTTCTTCGGCATGAAGCTGGACATTGCACAATTGCTTCTCCCTTAGGGTATCACGTTCGCAGCGTACTCTTTCCAGCTCGGATCTAGCACAATCCCGCTCTCGCTCCGCCCTGCCAATGGCGGCCTGTACGCATTCACTTTGATTACTATTGGCGGTTGAGGGGCGCGTCGAGGAGGAGGATGTAGCAGTGGCTGGGGGCAGAGTCTCATACTGGACGCTCTTTTGTGGCGAAAATTGCAATTTGCTGCCGCCAGGGAAGAGCTCTAATCGTAGAGCTTTTAGTTCTTCGTCCTTGGACTTGATTTGAGCATGCAAGAAGGCAATCTCCGTGTCGGAACCAGATTTGCTCATCAGGCGCAAGTATTCCTTCTGGAAGAAGTCGCGTTCCGATGCAAGGCGGATCTTCTCCTCATCCAGATTGCCCGTAATGTGTTGGTTGTGATCCTTTAGCTCCTTTTGCAGATCCAGAATCTTGGCATTCATTTTGTTGATCTTTTTCTTGTGCTTCTCGTTGGTGGCCTCCAGTTCCTCCTCGCGACGAGTCAGCAGATTCAGACGCTCGTTGAGATTATGCTTCTCGCTTTGGTTGGCGGCAAATCCACCACCACCGGCCTGTCGGGGATTTTTGCTTCTTTGCAGATTCTTTAGTTCCAGTTGCAATTGTTTTATTTCCTGCTCCCTGGCTTCTATCTCCGTATTGGCCTGCTGCTCTACTTGCAGGGCAGCCTCCTTGAGCTCCTCCAGTTGAGTTTGCAGTTTGCGCTTCTCCTCCTCGGATCCCAATGCCTTCTGCATGGCATCGTGCATCTTGTCCTGGAAATCACGCACCTGCAGCATTAGTTCGCTCTTCTCGCGCTGCAATAAATCAATGTCCTGCGAGAGTGCACCCACATCCTTGTAGCAGCAATCTTTGGCTAAAGCTGCCGGAGGTCGTCCGCCAGCTAGCATATCATTTAGACGACGTATTTCCCGGTTTCTTGACTCTACTTTGCGCTTGTAGAACTCCAGTTGCTCGGCGGCCGAAATAAGATCGTTTTGCATCTTGTCTAGCTCCTCCTGGCCGCTAGTCTGGGTTACTGTCACTCCGCCATCCTTGCCAGTTGTGGTGGTCTTTTGGAAAACACCTGCATTGCATTTTGTGCATTTTAAGGCGGCGGAAGAACTGCTGGCGAGAACAGCAGGCAGCACATTGCCGGAACGGACTGTAGTTATAAAGGGTTTTTTGGCTAAAAAGAAGGTAGGAGAGCAGTTTAAAAAGGATTCAATCATTACAGAGCTAAGATGAGAAGGCTTTCTGGTTAAGATAGGCTTTTGACTTACTTTGACGATTAATGCCAATCTGCGTACGCTTGGCGGCGGTGGAGGAAATCATTTGCTTGGCAAGCAAGGCATCCAGTTGATGCTGAAGGCCCACATTGTGGCTCTGCAAGTGCTCTCTGTCCGTCTCCAAGTTACGGATCTTGCGCTCAGATTCTAGGTCAAAGTTTATGTATAATAAAAATCATAAATAATATGGAATCGATTGCCACGCTTACCACACAGACGCAGCTCATAGTCCTCGCGGTCACGCAGGAACTGCAAATGGAGTTCGTTGCACTCGGCCAGCAGGCGAGCGTTGTCGCATTTGTACGGCTCAACGCCCAGCTCCCAACAGGTCTTATCCTGGATGGGCCACAACAAAGGGAGTGCTTAGCAACCAAGGTATAATTGGGAACACGCAGTGGTATATACAAACCTCCAGCAATACCGCAATCTGCTTTTTGGTGTCCCGGAGACATTCCGTCGTCTTGATTAAATCTGCAAAGATCGCCTGGACGAGCGGTATGGCCAGCACTGGCAGCGTCTGCGTGAAGCCCATAACGTCCAGCTTGGAGCGCAGATCCTTAAAGTCGCCATCGCTGAAATTCATTGGTATGGATGTTAACACACAACAATAAAACGCTTTACAAAACTTCACAAAACGCGCAGTAAATAAAAATGATAATAAAACTACGCCGCCAAGAGTCAAACAAAATCAGTGTGACCGTAAATGGACAGGTAAAATAAACCAATATTTTTTGAGAAAATATATAACAAAAAATACCAAGTAGCACACCACAGTACAATTGTGAACTGTACTAATGCTCAGGTTAATATTTGACACTTAATATATGGAAAATCTGTTAAAAATGGGATTGTAAACTAGATTTCAAAAGAAAAATCAAATATAATCATCCTTTTTGACACAGTCACTTGAAATTACATTTGCTTTGTCGCTGTTGTGTCAGATTACCGCATGGTGGCTGACTTAGACAATCAAACTCCACCGCTAGAAGCGCCACTGAACCTTTAAAAAGCTGTTATTTTTTAAATTTAAAAATTGTAGTAAGCAGATTTATTTACCTACAAAAAACTAACAAAGAACGCTTTCTGAAACAAAATGAATTAATTTTTGGCTTAGTTATGAGATTTTAAAATTTGATTTTTCGACCAAAAATAGTCATATAAAAATATCACTAAATATTGATTCAAACAATAAAAGGATTTGATTTAATACGATCCTATTCAATTACAAACTGAAAAATATTATTAACTTCGGTTTCCCGAAGTTGGTTTACATTCTTTGTTTTATATAAAGAATATAAAGTATTCTTTAATATTAATGAATCCAGAAATAAACAGAAATAAACTTACTCAACAACAAAACAATAAAAATTCTTGAACATAAATGGTGCTTCGTTGTCCGATATAAAATTGCGTTCTGGTTTCTCCGATGAAAATGGATTTGTTGTGGGTGGCAGGACAACATTAATGTGGCGATTCGATTGATTAACAAAATGCACCAGATCCAAGGGCGCCTCATATTTCGTATAGGATGTGACCACCACCGGACATTTGATATTTAATGCTGCCTGAATAGTATCTGGCCAAGTATCCTCGAGGGCGAAACCAGTGGATCGATAAAGACCCGAGTTGAAAAAGCAAACTGGGAGAAGAAAAAGCTAAAATTTAAAACAAAATTTATTGTTTCTGGTGAAAACTTACTTAAATTTGGTGACAGAAACTGCGACTGCTTGCAGTAATCGTGATACAAACGATTCTCAAAGTGATAATTAACCGTCCTGTTGGCCTTTCGGCACGAGACACAACATCTTGAAGAGAAAAATAATGTTAAAATCTTAAAAACTCATGAATATTCGAGCATCTCACTTGATCTTCTTTAGCTGCTCAAAGGAAATGTTATTGGGATTGAGTTCAGGTCCTATGAAGACCACATTCAGTGTTTTCACCGTTGGCATTATGTGGAGCAGGAAGAGCTCCCACTTCTGCAGGACATCCACCTCGAATTCAATCTCAGCGCCAATTAAATGTAGAGTTAGCTCCTCGCAGTTCCTCAGACGCTCGCAGAGCTTCAAGGCAAACCAGGCAGTCAAGGGTCCTGTGGAAACCTGAGTAAGAGCCGCATACTCACACTCATTGGTAACATCTATAGGAAAAGTTTGAATTTAAATATAAGGATATAATCATCAAATATTACCATATACTCACTAAAATTCAGCTTCTTCATTATTTGCCTGGTGTTACAGCAGGCCATGGGCAGTTCCTTTAGCACCTTATTCGGCAGCGATGGCTCCAGCCTCCCAAACTTCGCCTGAAACATGACAAAGGCCTTGAAGAGGCGATAAGAGCCACACCACTTGGTGTGCTCCTTGCTAAGATGCTCTGGTTTATCCTTGCAGAAAGCCACCTCGCCGCATCCACCGCAGATGGACAGACGCTTCAGACGATGCTCCCGGCACTTGGACTCACTGCAGATCAGAGGAAAGAGCAGCAATTCCTGTTCCGTGGCCGAAAGTGGACGATTCATCTCCTTCTCCACCTGCCGGATGCACACGATCCGGTAGGAGCGAAACTGCTCGGCACTGAAGTCGCCGCACTTGTAGAACATCTCGTGACCTGGTTACGCACACCGATAATTGGCCATTAGAATGATTTATGGTTCGCTGACAGACACTCCTCTCTCTTACCCTTATGGTCCACAGTTTGGCGCAAGGCATAGCAGAGCTGACGATGCTCCTGGTCTTCCTTCATGTGATCACCACTGCAGTAGTAGCTCAGACCGCAGCGGGAACAGGGCATTCGATTCTGACCGCACAGATCCGCTTTGCAGAACTTTCAGGGGATGAAAGATATGATATGATTTATGATATCTTTATCTAAAAGATTATACCATCACTTACATTACATAACGAGGCCATAAAATATTGCCTGGGCTTGTAGATGTACTCAATGTACTCGGCCTCATCATCTGAGGACTCCACATCGCTGGGCGGCGCCTGGCTAAAAAGCTTTCCAAGATTGCTAAACAGTGCCGCTGCCGGAGATTCTCCCGATCCTATATAATAGAATTATTTTAAAAATAACATTAATAATAAATGAAAATGAGATGGAACTAACCCTTTTGCAATTTGCTGCCCAAGCACTTGAGTAACTCATCCACTTCATCCGCTTTCACTTCTCTTGATGATTTGCTGCCGGCTGCTGTGGTTGTGGTTTGTGTTTTCTTAATGGGCTCTGGAGAATTCTTCTTCGATTTCTTCTCCTCACTTTTGATTTCCTTGGTTAGTTTTACTATTGTAGGTTGATTGTTTTTCACCAAGTTTTCTGTTTCATTAACTGAATTTTCATTCTTTTTGGCCAACAATTTTCTACGCAACAATTGTTGTATAAATCGAATGGTTTCGTTTTCCTTGGAGGTATCTACTTGGGATTGATCACTTTTTGGTGAAGTTTTCAACGAAGAGGGAACACTCTTGGATGGAGTTTCTAACTGACTTGTAGAGTGAGTACTTTTCGGGTTAGAGAGATCACTTGCTGAAGGGATTCCCCCTGGAGTTTCTTCTGGAACTCCATCCTCCACCTTGTGGTTACACTTATTCCTTGGACGATTCCGAATCCTTGGCTTCTTCTTGTTGTGATTCATTTGGGATCTCTATTTTTGTGGACGAAATAACCAAGAGCTACTAGAGCACGTAACTCAATTGAACGAACAATGAAGAATGCGAGCATTGTTTGTGGTTTGAGATTATAGCGATTCTGGTGCCTCCGATTCAATTGGCCAGCAGCCATTTCATCTCATCTCGTGCCATCGGCTCGCCCAAATGTATGCCCTGTCTTATTTATCTATTTTTGTAGAGCACACGGGCCTGCCTCTGGGCTGACAACGGCAGCCAAAAGGCAGCCAGGCAGCCGGCATCGGAGTCCACCGCATGGTTTAGGCGGGTTGCTCGGAATAATGTACGAAGAGTACCACAGGTTTGATTAATTATTCGCTTAGACGACTAATTGCGTCAACAAGCAGAGCAGAGAATTACAATAAAAGCTCCTCACTCGATGGTGTTCTCTTGCCAGAATTTCATTGTCAACAAAAAGTACAAAAAACATTAAGTTGAATAAGGAAAATCAAATTTTCTTATACATTAAATAAAGAAATTAATTAAAGAGCTATTCTTTTTGCAAAACAATAATTTTAAAGAAAAGGTTTAAAAACCCATCATTAGCAATTTACTAATTTAATGAACAGTTTAAAGAGCTGAAAAAATGTAAAATTAAAACTCAGTTAGTGTGGAATTTGTTCAGATTTTGTATCTAAAAAATATATATATTTATATGAATAAGGTAATTGCTTACTCTTGTTTATGTTTTAATTAATTTAAGACAATCTGTTCTTAACCAGAATGTAAGCAAGTTAAACATGTAGATGTTAATTGGGAAGAGAGATTATAAACTATGTTTTCTTTGCAGTAATTCACCGTCGATGAAGAAAGACACACACGCGAGGCTATGGCCAAACACACATTAGGGAACGTCGATTTAAATGAACTGAAAAACGTAATTAAAAGTAAAAAGGTTACGAATTAAACATTTACAATATTCTATCTTGGCTTTTGTTTCTTACATTTAAACAATTAACTTTCTTTGATTCATTAAACAAAATGTTTTCGCATTTAAATTCATATTTAAATAGAAAATAAGAGGTTATAATGAAAAATGAAATGAAAAAATAGTTTACATATTAAATAGGTTATCTGCTGATCACTTTAAAGGGATAATTATTATTTTTAAATCGACGTCACCCCATTTCTATACACAGTTCAAGTCCAGCATCGGTATTATCAGTTCATTGTCATTAACATTATTCGTGACCATTGGTGGGTCCAACGCCACCGCAGGCACCTTCGCCATCGGAAGTGCTGGAGCTGCCATTGCAGCCATTCGAATGCCCATTCTTGGGCGTGCTGGGTAACTTTAGGGACCTGAGCGACTTTGTGGCCAAGCCAACAACACTCTCCTCCTCATCCGACGAGGCATCGGACAATTGGCGTGGCGACAGGCGGCAGCCACGCTGAATATATTGCGTCAAACGATCCACAGAAGCCAAGATCAGGCCAAGGAACGGAGGTGAGGGCTTCAAGGGACGGGATAAGTACTCCGGATGATATTGCGTGGCCACGAAATACGGATGTCCACTCAGCTCGATGATCTCCATGCGGGTCTTGTCCACATCCGTGCCCACAAATCGCATGCCATGCTCTTCCAGACGTGGTACATACTTGGGATTAACCTCATACCGGTGACGATGTCGCTCCTCCACATTCTTGGGATTGCCATAAAGCTGACGTATAACACTGGGACCCTCGGCGAAGATGGTTGTTCGCTTTCCGAGACGCATAGTGCCACCCAGTTGACCCGTATGATGCTCTGGCATATCTATAACCAGGGCATTGCCCGTATTGGGATCGATCTCCGTGGTATTGGCATCCTTTAGGCCAAGTTTACTGCGTGCAAATTCAATAACTGCTGCCTGTAGGCCCAAGCAGATGCCAAGGAATGGCTTACGATTCTCTCGCGCCCACTGGCAGGCACGAATCTTGCCCTCCATGCCTCGGGAACCAAAGCCGCCGGGCACCAGTATACCATCGCTTTCGCATAACTTTTGCCACTCCTTGTGGTACTTTCCTGGCTCCGTTTGCATCGTTTCCTCCTCCAGCTGGCAGGATTCAATGAAAACCAGTTCCAGTTTACGATTGGCTGCCAAGGCAGCATGTTGCAGAGCCTTCACCACGGACGCGTACGAGTCCGTAAATTTGGTGTACTTGCCCACAATGGCAATGGTCACCTCACGGCGAACGGTTTCTGTGCGGCGGGCCAAATCGCGCCATTGCTGCAGGCATCTGCAAGAGAAATTGGAAATTAATTCTTTTTTTCTTAAGGGTTTTCTACTAAACCCAACTCACTTGGTTCTCTTGCTCATATCGATGTTGAGCTGCAGCCGCTCGTTGAGATATTCAATCACACCGTTCTGTTCCATCAGCAGTGGGACATGGTAGATGGAATTCAGATCATGGATGCAAATCACCTGATCGGGACCCACATGACAAAAGTTGCTTATCTTCTCTTTAACCTCTAACCCGATGGGTTTCTCCGAACGGCAGACAATTAAATCAGGACTCAGACCGCATCCCCTCAATTCCCGCACCGAACTCTGGGTGGGTTTCGTCTTGGGTTCACCCGTTGCCTTGGGCAGTGGCACCAGCGATACATGGGCCACGCAGAAATTCTCCCGCTTGACACGGAACTGAAATTGTCGAAATGCCTCGACGAAGGGCATGCCCTCGATATCGCCAATGGTTCCACCCAATTCCACAATGCAGACCTGCGGCTTCGATGAGCCCTGGACAGGGGTTTGGGCCACGCGTTCCACCCACTCCTGGATGGCATCCGTGATGTGCGGGACAACTGTTGATAAATTGGTAATTATTAGTAACTAATCTTTGAACTCGAAGCTGTAATCTCTACTTACCCTGAACAGTTTTGCCCAAGTACTCGCCCGTGCGCTCCTTCTCAATGACCAACTTGTAGATCTTTCCCGTGGTTATATTGTTGTCCCTATGTAGGGTGATGTCCAGAAACCGTTCATAGTTACCCAGATCCAAATCCACCTCGGCGCCATCGTCCAAAACGTAGACTTCACCTGAAATACATCAATATAACATTATTAGTAACTATCCTTAAGGCACAGGACACCCTCTTATTTCCAATATAAACTAAGATCTCTCTTCGAATCTTTACATTTCTGTTTTATTTCCAAGGTAATTATTGTGCTTAGGTGTAAATGGCGCACACTCGCAAGCTTTCCTTGGAGTGAACACTCAACTAGAAGTCGAATCAAATGTAGCATGGCATGATGGACACAAACTAAGCATAAATCCTTACAAATCTAACCTACTGCTGGGAGTATGTACAGTCTTCGGCTTATTCTAGATAAATCTCTCTACTTGGACTCCTCGAGATCCTCCTTGTAGAGCTCCTTGAAAATGAGCTTTTGTATCTTGGTGCGTATGCGCAGCTTCTGGGCAGCCGTCAGCTGCTTCATATACGGATGCAGGCTCAACAAGTAGTGGTAGTCATCGTCCTCGGGCACCATTGGCGTATCCATTGTCGAGGAACCGTTGAAGTTGCTATCCTCGGAGAGACGCGGCCGCTTCAGCTTGAGGGCGGGTATCAGTCCATTGGCGTACGAGTGTTGGGTGAAGCTAAGATGCTCTCCAACGGCAGAACCTCCCACAGGGCAACGGATGATCCAAAGTCCTCGTTGCGCTCCTTGGTCGCATATGTGGCCAGTGGATGGTGTGCTTTGTTGTACAGCGTCGGTGGCGATACAGATCTCTTGCCCATGCCTATTGGCGTTCCTCCATTGGAGCAAACAGATGATGCAGATGTGGTAGAAGCGGGAGCCAGAACAGCACCCGGTTCGGGTTGTTGGACTTGAGCGGATGTGGTGGTCACCACTGGCGGCGGCGAACAGTGGGCAGCCGGTGGTTCCACCATATGCATTTGCAGCGGCAATGGCACTTGCAGCTGCTGTTGCTGCGGCTGCTGTGGTGGTGGCTTCTTGCTGAGATCCTCTGCCTCCTTTTCCGCCAGCTCCAAAAGCTGAGCCCGCAGTAGTCCCGCCTTGAGCAGAGCGTGCTGATGAGCCTCCTCCTGGGCCTTGAGAGCGCCGGTGGCCAATGGCGTTGTGCTCACTTGGTTCATTTGATGGGCAGCCGGCGGCGTGGGCATAACATCCTCCATTGTGGTGGCCTGGCTAGCATCCCCATCCGCCTCTGCTTCCCCTTCCATATCCTCCTCCTCCTCGTAGTCCTCATCGCTGTCCTGCAGTCGGCGTATCAGACCATTGGTTAAGTCCGGTTCCACCACCGTCTTCTCACAGTCCTCGCTCTGTTGGTTAAAGTAGAACGACTGATCCTGCTCGTTCTTCGGTAGCCGATGTCTCATATGATCAGCTGGAAATGGAAGGGAGTTAAATGACGAAATGATTTTTTATAACAAGACTCACTTAGGAACAACAAAGCGTAGTAGTGCAACCACTTTGATTCAAAGGTTGCCGGGTCCACCATGAAATCACCGTTATCCGCCCGCGGTATCCGTTTGTACTCAACACGAAAATTATCCCGCAATCCTTTCCACTTGGCCTTGAGCACGATTTCTGGTTGGGAGAGAGGGGTGAGTTAGTGAAAGCGATTGAGAGAGACCATTAACTGTGCGGCCAACTAAGCTTTATATACCCTTCCAGGGTATTATAATTTCATTCAGAAGCTTGAAACGTTGTAAAGGAATTATTTCCGATGGTTTATAGACCATATATATTTTTAATCAGAACAGTAAACTGCATGACTGCTATTATAATTAACAAAAAGACTTTTACTTTGGTTAATAAATATTTAAATAGAATATTTAAAAGTTTGGTTTTGATACACTGATCTAAAATTGCAATATTTGTAACCAATAGGTGCGTCTGATCAGAATAGAAATAATATTACTAAGGAGTTTCTTTAATGTTTTATCTTAAAAAATTTATGAAATAAATTAGTATGTTTAAAACAATTTAAAGTTTAAAAATTTACTTGCTTTTGTTATTTAAAAAATGTGGCTAAAATCGTAAAATCAATAGACTTTCCTCACTTAGTTGGCATCACTATCGGACAGGAATAAAACTCCTTTTTGGCCATATGCTTATGAATATACATATACTACTTACTCGGCAGCTTGTGCGCTCCGCTTAACTCGTCCCACATCTGCTCGAGGAAGGCTTTGTTGCAATGGAAATTGCGATTCCAGATGGCCGGACGCTCTTCGATGTCGTGAATGAACTGCTCCACATTGAGCACAATTGTAGACTTTTTTGGCGCCATCTTCTTCAAACGCTGCCCCGCTCTCTTCTCACTGTCTTTGTCTCACTCGCACTTGGTTTAATGCACCAGCCGACCCTGCGCTCTTCCCGTTTCACTTGTCCATCCGCCAGCTAACGGTGAATGCCAAATGCATGCTCAAATAGCACACGCCACCTTCACCAATACTAGCATCATCACCATCACACACACACACGGGGAGAGAGAGAGAGCACTGAGAGGATGAAGACCATTAGGCTTTGACCACACTCCCTTCGTTCGGCTTCCACCCACACCAGCACAGTTAGCCGCGATCCGTGACCATCAATGAGTTGCTCCCTAAGAGCAAAAACAACAACAACAACAACAACGAGAGAGAGGGCAGCAACAAACTTAACACAATAACTTCATTAAGATTCCTTCCTTGGGCTTATGCCTAGGCCCAAAGCAAGCAGAGCAAGCGACAGGAAATGCTGCTCTGCGCCATTCGCTTTGCTCTCCATCGGTTCCATCTCCGCACCAGCAAGACGAGGCGAAGGCAGGAAAGAAGCAGCAAAATCAAATTATAAACACGCCAGGCCAGCGACAGTGGGACAGAGACAGACGGCGACGACCGAGAGACCAGCCAACAGTTACTCCATGAGCCTGCCTGGCTGCCCTGCTGCCGCCGCTCACGCTCCTGATTCCACTGCCTGTGCCTCTGACTGACCCCCCCCCACAGCACACACCGAACACACTTGCAGAAAAGAGATAAATTTGGAGAATATAATCAAATACTAGCGTTAGTTTTAAATGAGTGAGAATTAATAATTAAGAACTTTTTCCACTAAAAGAGTTATAATGTTTATTTTTTCTGTTTCAAAAATATTAAAAGAAAAACACCACAATTACGTTAAATATTTGCATCTAACTTAAAACCGAAACATATTTTATTAAATATATTTTTTTTAATATTTATTTTACTATTTATTGAGTGTCCTACTAGCCCCAATTTTTTCCAGTGCAGCGTCTGGCCCCAGTGCATCGGTTTCATTGTGTGTGTGTGTGTGAGTGTGTGTGTCTGCAAGTAAGTGTGAGTGAGTCAGGCGCAGGCGGCGGCGGCATTCAGTCAGTCATGCAAAAATGTTTGCCGTAGAGTGCGAAATACTAAAAACGGCAGCGTGTGGAGAGTGTGGAGACAGCCGACTGCGATTGTGGGGAGAACTGGCATGTGGGGGGGGGGCGCAGCGGAGCGGATGCAGAGGCACAGGCCGAGCCAGGCCGGGCACACACACACACACACACAAACACACACACATACTTTATTCCAGCGAGCAAAAGCAATTTCTGGCGGCAGCTACAGCCACAGCTATAGCTATTGCTGCAGGCAGACAAGAGACCAGAGACCAAGCCAGACAAATAATGCGTCACGTTGCGCAGTCGTTAAATTTTCGTTTTCGTCGTTGCCGTTGCCGTTGCCGCCGTTGCCGTTTTTATGGGCAAAAACTGCCGGCGACAGTGGTGTTGTTGTTGCTGTTGCTGTTGTTGTTAGGTGAAGGAGAAGGAGAAGGAGGATAGGACCAGTTGAGGGGGGGATGGGGTGAAGGAAAAGCTGGCCCAGCTGCTTCGCGAGGTGCTCAAGCTTGGTGGCGGCGACTCCTCTGCTTCTGCTGCCAGCCAAGAATTTCACAAGTTTCGACCCGCCGTGGAAAGTTATGAGGCCTCGCATTCGCACTCCTCTAAACTGGAAGCAGCCGCTTGGCTGGGAAATTGGCAGCTAAGTGGTCTAACATGGGAGATTTGGAAATCACTTCCTTAACTTTGATTTCCCGCAGAGTGGAGAGATTCCCCCGGCTTATCGGAGGTTAGTGTTGAGAGGTTTGAGGGGAGTGAATGAGATAAGAGACTAAGGCTACTCGCCTATTTATAGGTCAGATCTTGTAATAAATGCAGGCTATTGATCAGAGAGAGAGAGAGAGAAAGAGAGAGATTTCCATTGATAGTCTTTCATCTCTTCCAGCTTAACCCATTGAAGCTCCACAATTAATAAATAAATAATAAATAAAAAATGTTTTTTAGATACATTTGCTAATTATAAAAACATAAGAATTTAATAAGCTTCAAAATAATATTATAAATTATTTATAAAGCTTTGTTCTTTGACAATAATTATAACTTTGGGATCCCCTTTTATATCCTCAAACTTATCATAGTTCTAAAAGGTTTAAACTAACGTGTTAGATTGCATTGCCCAGCTTGGTAGCTTCTTTAATGGTTTAAATGCTAAAAACTTGGCTCACTTCTCTGCAAAAATTGACAGCTTTAAAATATTGGCTCTTTCATTCGCTGCATCTGCTTCGTTACCATCACCTTTAAACGAGCTCCACACCTCTTCTCCTACTTGGAATCTCCATCTGCTAAAATCCCCATATCCAGAAGTTCTTTTCTTTGGCGCCCATAACTTAAATGGTTAGCCCCACTCCTCTCTCGCTCTCTCGCTTTAACTGTCATTGAAATTAGCTTGCGAATGAAGAGGAAAGGAAGAGAGCCAAATAGGCTCACTAGAGGGGTGGGGGGAGAGCAGTAAGAAAGGAAATAAACTATACGATTGCTGTCTTGTTGTTGTTGTTGTTGCTCTATAAAATCAATAAAACACGCACACACATGTGCGTGTGTGTTCCATTCCCGCACACACACACACACATGTATGCAAAATTAGCGCGCCAGGAGGCACAACTAACGGTGAATGTGGGTGGCCCAATGGGTGGTCGTGTATTACCGCCAAAGTTTATAATAATCGAAAAGTTTTTGCGCTCGGACA